TGTCTTGCCCACCATGAATAATGCTGCAGTGGACATAGGGGTGCATAAATCTTTGTGAATACATGTTCTCAAGTTTTTTGGGTATATACCCAGAAGAAGGATTGCTAGGTCATATAACTCTATTCTTAATTTTTTGAGGAACTATCATACTGTTTTCCATAGTGGCCGCACCAGTTTACCTTTCCACCAACAGTGAATGGGGGTTCCTTTCTCCACAACTTCCCCAACACTTGTTATTACTTGTCTTGTCAATAATAGCCATTCAAACAAATATGTGGAGGTATCTCATTGCAGTTTTTTTGTTTTTTTTTAATCCTCACCCGAGGACATTTTTCCATTTTTCACTCAGATAGAGCGGGAAGGAGAGAGAGGAAGAGAGAGAAATATCGATGTGAAAGGGACACATCGAGTGGCCGCCACCCACACGACCCAACCAGGGCCGGGGACAAACTGCAGCCAAGGTACATGCCCTTAGCGGGAACCGAACCCGGGTCTCTGTGGACCGCAGGCTGACGCTCTAACCGCTGAGCCAAACCGGCCAGGGCTCTCATTGTAGTTTTGATTTGCATTTCCCTAATAGCTAGTGAAGTTGAACGTCTTTTCATGTATCTGTTGGCCATTTGTATGTCTTCTTGGGAGAGAGTCTGTTTAGGTCCTCTGCCCATTTTTTAATTGGATTGTTTGTTTGTTTGGTGTTGAGTTATATGCATTCTTTATATATATATATATATTTTTTATATTAATCCTTTATTGGAGCTGTTGTCTGCAAATATCTTTTCCCATTTGGTTGGTTGCCTTTTTGTTTTGTTGTTAGTTTCTTTTGCTCTGCAGAAGCTTTTTAGTTTAATATAGTCCCATTCATTTACTTTTGGCTTTACTTCCCTTGCCTTTGGAGTCAAATTAATAAAATGTTCTCAAAGACCAAGGTCCATAAGTTCAGTACCTATGTTTTCTTCTATCTATTGTTACAGATCTTATATTTAGTTCTTTGATCCATTTAGGATTAATTTTTGTATAGTGGCAAACTGTAATCTAGTTTCATTTTTTTGCATGTGCCTTTTCAGTTTTCCCAGCACTGTGTATTTTTGGTTCCTGTATCAAAAATTATTTGCTTATATACATGTGGTTTAATTTCTGGGCTCTCAATTCTGTTCCATTGGTCTGTGTGTCTGTTTTACTGCCAATATCATGCTATTTTGATTATCATAGCTCTGTAGTATAATTTGAACTCCGGTAGTATGATCCTCCTTCATTCTTTTTTCTCAGGATTGCTTTGGCTATTGGTGTCTTTTGTGGTTCCATATAAATCTGATGATTTTTTGTTCTGTCTGCTTTTTAAATGACATTGGGATTTTGATGGAGATTTCATTAAATCTGTATATTGCTCTGGGTATTATGGCCATTTTAACTATGTTGATTCTTCTAATCCATAAACACGGAATAGCTTTCCATTTCATTGTGTCTTTTTAAATCTCTTTTATTTATTTATTTTTTTTATTTTTTATCCTCACCCGAGGACATTTTTCCATTTTTTGTTCAGGTAGAGTGGGAGGGAGAGAGAGGAACACAGAGAGAGAGAGAAACATCGATGTGAAAGGAACACATCGAGTGGCTGCCACCCGCACAACCGACCAGGGCCGGGGACAAACTGCAACCGAGGTATGCGCCCTTAGCGGGAACCGAACCCGGGTCTCTCAGGACCGCAGGCCGACGCTCTAACCGCTGAACCAAATCAGCCAGGGCTTTAAATCTTTTTTAATAATGCTTTGTAATTTTCAGAATATCGGTCCTTCGCATCCTTTGTTAAGTTTATTCCTAGGTATTTTATAATTTTAGTTGCAAATGCAAAAGGAATTGGTTGTTTTGTTGTTTTGTTTTTTCATTTTTCTGAAGTTTCATTGTTAGCATATAGGAAAGCGGTGGACTTTTGTATCTTGCAAATTTTCTATACTTGTTTATTGTTTCTAATAGTATTTTGGTGGAGTCTTTAGGGTTTTCTATATAAAGAATCATGTCTTCTTTAACGGGAACCGAACCAGGGTCTCTCTGGACCGCAGGCCGACGCTCTAACCGCTGAGCCAAACCAGCCAGGGTGAATCATGTCTTCTTTAAAAAGTGACACTTTTACTTCTTCCTTCCCAATTTGGATGCCTTTTATTTCTTTCTCTTGCTGATTGCTCTGGCTAGGACTTCCAGAACTCTGTTGAATAAGAGTGGTGAGAGTGCACATCTTTGACTTGTTACTGATTCTCAAGGAAAAGCTTTCTGTTTTGTTAATCAATTTTAACCCCTAATTAAGTTAAATTAATTATCTGGCTCTCCAGAGTTTTGAATTGGCCTGCTTTTGAGTGCAGGCATCTAATCAGAAGAAACTCAGTATCTGTATATAAAGATGCTTAAGAAAGAATATTTGGTCGCTGCTACACACTACAGTCCCAGACTCTCAGTTGTATACACCTTTGTGGGAGAACAAGTGGGAAAACCCTGTTCCTGAGCTGTGCCTCTCCACCGCTTACTTTGCAGAGCTCGGTCGTTTCTGCTTCTACACATGCTCCTCTCTGTGTGGTGCTGCCAGGCGCTGCCTCCGGACCTTGAGCCAGGTCTTGGCCATGCACCTGGGTACCTGAAAGGCACTGACACCAAACCCACCCACCCACTCATCAGATTCCAGGGGACATCAGAGTAGTAATTTACTGGGACACTGAAATCATATCCAGGGCCCTGAAGCAATTACACTTGCTTCATATATATACTGACCAGAAATAACTTCTTCATCCAGGGGAGATGGTCCCGAAGTTTGCTATGAAGCTCTCTATGGAAGGGTTACACCTCCTTTCCAACCAGAGTAGAATTTGCCAATCCTAAAAAGTAAGATTTGGAAAACAAGTTTAAATATCACTTGAAAAAATCGGTGCTGAAGTCAAAATCTTCAGTATTCCTTTGATAAAATCTGCTGAATGAGAAGCCTGGCTATTTTGATTAAATAGCTATGAGCAGACCCTTATATTTGCATAGCAATGGATTTTAGTGCTCATCTGTGGTAACCGTTACTTTAAAGAAGCATTTATTCCTTTTCAATTGTGTTGGCAAACAGAGCTATTAAGCACCAGTCTCTTATGGCTGATTCCTGACATCGAGCTTGACTCCTATTAGGAATATAATTAAAGTGTCATCTCCCACCAAAAGACACAAAATCTAAAGTAAAAAAAATTAATCAGGTAGCTGTGGTGATGATGTAGCTGTTACTTGGAGAGCTGTTTTTACAATATCTTTATTATACATTTTATTATAATGTCTAATAGAAACATGATGGAAGCCACATATGTAATTTAAATGTTCTATTAGCTGCACGTAAAAAAAGTAAAAGGAACAGGTGAAATTAATAATGGTAATACAGTAAGCTTACCATATCCAGAATTATATTATTTCAACCTATAATCAATATAAAAATTATTATTATTATTTTTATCCTCACCCGAGGGCATTTTTTTATTTTTTTGTTCAGATGGGGGTGGGGGAGAGAGAGAGAGAGAGAGAAACATTGACGTGAAAGGGACACCTCGAGTGGCTGCCACCCACATGACCCAACCAGAGCCGGGGACAAACTGCAACTGAGGTACGTGCCCTTAGTGGGAACCGAACCTGGGTCTCTCGGGACCGCAGGCCGACACTCTAACCACTGAGAAAACCAGCCAGGGCTAAAAATTATTAATGACATATTTTATATTCTGTTTTCCTTCTTGTTTTCGGTTTATATTTAACACAGCACATCTCGAATCAGACTTGCTTCATTTCACTGCTCAGTAGCCACGTGTAGCTAGTGGCCACTACGCTGGACAGCACAGATCTAGAACATTTTCCTTTAACCTTTCAAGTATTGAAATAAATACATTGAAATGAAATATAATATTTTAGAAAGATATATTGATACTTTTAGATAATTAGAAAAGGGGGAAAGTATGTTAAAATTACTTAAACAGGTCAGTGGAGTAAAATAGCTATCTGATGTGTTGTGTTGTATTGTGTTGTGTTTTATTGTACTGTGTTGTATTCTGAATTTCTTAAACTATTGGAAAATATTGCTCACATATTAATAATTACAAGTTAAAAATTAGGGCAAGCTAGGACACAGCCCTCTCTCATTCAACTTGTAATAGGTAAGTTTTCTATCAACAAGCCTGTGTGCCCATTTCGATTCCTGCGGTTACAAGGCAGAGCTGCCCAAGGGGTCATGGCTCTCTGGGGCATGATTTTAGAGTCCTGGTTATGAGTTGGAGAACTTGTAGGGACAAGCAAAATCCCCCCAAATGATGCACTGCTTACAGAAACTCTTTGAAAAGGAGTTGTTGTCTGAGGCTAATAAAAACACAACAAAGAACAAGTATGAATCTTATGTGGATTCAATATAGAATTATTGAGAATGGGAATATTTTCTGTGAGAGTCCATTTCCTGAGACCTGACGTGTAAATATCTGTGTTTCAATTTCATTCAGTCAGGATGAATTATTTTTACTCAAAGATGTACCTAATTTGAAGTTCTGGGAAAAGGGAGTTAGTCTGTCTTCATACAGCAGGTGTGATCTCCTCATGGCTCCCATTTTACCTTCCCTTTAGTGGAAAAACTTAGCAAAGAGCTGTAAAACATGGTAAGGGTAGGAAAATTGTCTTCATTGATAAATGTTTCTACAGAGTTGCAAAGTATCATCTCACTCAGTGAAACCAGAAGCCCCTTTCAATCCTGTTGTTTGTCTTTAAATATATAGCTTTTAAGAGGGACCACATGAGCAGAAATGGTGAATTTGAGAATAGCAGTTAGAATAGCCTTATAATTGAGGTTCTGGGGCTTGTTTTTGCACATTCTCAATGGAGTGCAGGTCTGGGTGTCCCACTTCAATTATGCGAACCTTACTGAGTCGATCTGAATTTCTTGCCTACTCTTTCTTGGATTGGTTTCTAAGAGATCTTTTTTTTTTTTCCATTTTTATTTTTTTGGCACCCAGGAATTAAATATCTTTAATTACTTGGATCTGTACAGACTCGCTGACCTCTTTAACCTCACTTTGTTGGAGAAGGCAGTGATCGATTTCTTAGTGAAGCACCTCTCTGAACTCCTGAAGAGCCGCCCCGAAGACGTTCTAACGCTCCCCTATTGCCTGCTCCAGGAGGTCCTGAAGAGCGACCGCCTGACCTCCCTGAGTGAGGAGCAGATCTGGCAGGTAAGGGCGCTCTGCGTGGGTCTCTTTGGGTGTGGAGAGGGCGTGGAACGATTGTAAGTTAAAGAACTGAGGAACAGCGGGAACTGTTTGGTTTGGTTTGGTCCTCGCTGGACTCGAAGTCTCTGAAGCCATGCTCCCACCACCGACAAGTGATTGGAGAACACCAGCTGTTGCAGCCTGGAGGCCTTAGCCAGCTCAGCTTAGCTCAGGGAATCCCCAGACCCTCCCACGACTTCCCCAAACTCCAAGTCAAAGGGTTTTTTTCCTCCCGATAAAATATTTTCTTAAACTGAGTATGAGAAGAATGAATGGTCAAGTGCTACTTAGTTTTAAGATCAGTGGAATCAGAATACATTCTGGGCTTTCCTGTAAATAGTTCAGAAACATTTCTTTTTTTTTTTTTTTTTTTTTATCCTCATCCAAGGACATTTTTGCATGTATCTTCAGATAAAGCGGGAGGGAGACGAGGAGGAGGAGAGAGAGAGAGAGAAACATCAGTATGAGAGAGACACTTCGAGTGGCTGCCACCCACACGACCCCAACGGGGGCTGGGGACAAACTGCAACCGAGGTACGTGCCCTTAGCAGGAACCAAACCCGGACTCTCCGGCCCGTGGGCTGACACTCTAACCGCTGAGCCAAACTAGCCAGGGCCAGAAACATTTCTTAGTTGCAGCGGAGAGCAACTGAGACTTTTAATGAAATGGAACTCTTCTTGCACTGCAGTGGGAAAATCTCCCTCCGTAGTTCATTCTGCATCCATTGCTGTTTTCCTAGGCCCTGTTGTGGTATCCTTTAGAATATCCTTTGTCTAGGGGACAGGAGGATGTTTTGTGTTTCCGAATTGATTATTCAATTTACATCCTTCTCTGATTATCCCCAGTGACTATCCTTAAACAATCTACATGGTGTCTTTGGGAAACAGTCAGAACCCATCTTCCCTTTTCATCTTACACTGTCTGTCTCACTCTCTGAACCCCTGGCCAGATGTATTGTTCCTTGTAGGGCATCATACCTTCAAATTTTCATGATCATTTGAAAAATATTCATATACAGACTATATATGGGAACATATGAAGTCTCCTAACGACTGATGAAGCAGTGAATTTCTGGTATCTTATCAAATAGCACTCGGAGAGAACTCATTCTGGCCCAAACAGAATCAGAGGTAGCTGTGAATTATCCAGTATATGACACTGCAGATTAATATTTTTTTCTGATGTCTTTCTTCCTTATTTCTTTCTCTGCATTACTTTAATCAACAACTTCTCTCTTCATGTTGCTTCGACCAGTGAGGGTAATGACACATGTGGTGTACTGAGGGCTTTCCAGACCCGAGCTCTTTTCAAACTTAACTGACTTATTACAATAGTCCCGAAGGATGACTCTTATCACCCCATCCTAACAGATGAGCAAAATGAGGCTTCAGTGCCTTACTCAAGGTTACAGAGCAGAGCAAGACTTCAAGTCCAAGTCTGCTGACACCTGTCTCATTTTCACAGTATTCCACACTGCCTTGAAAAACAGAATATCAGGAAACAAAAACAAGCTATAGATTTTTTTTTTTCCTGCTTCTTAGATATTTCTCATAATGTTAGTTCAGACAGAGGTCAAATGTATTGGTGAGAACTCTGGCCAGTTTGGCTCAGCAGTTGGAGCATCAGCCCGTAGACTGGAGAGTCACGGGTTCCATTCTGGTCAAGAGCTTTTACCTCAGTTGTGGTTCAGTCCCTGGCCCTAGTTGAGGTCATGTGGGGTCATGCGGGAGGCAACCAATCAATGTGTCTCTCTCACTTCGATATTTCTCTCTCTCCCCCTCTGTCTGAAGATAAATGGAAAAATATCCTTGGATAAGGATTTTAAAAAAGTATTGGTGAGGATGAGTTTTTGGTATAAATTTTAATTATTTGTTTTTCTCTCTATAAACACAAACCATCAGAATTTTTCAGTCAATTCAAAGTGGGAAATTGCCAGTTTTTTTTTTTTCATTTCCCAAAGGGAAAAGAAAGAGTTGGAATGAATTCTGCATTTGTTTCTAAGTGAATGGAGATCTAAGCCAACCATCCTGGTGGCTTCTGTCTCTTTCTGTGGCATGGTGAAGGCACCGGCAGAGATGGACAGTTAAGAGTTATTATACTTGCATCTGTAATGATTATTAATATTATAATGTAGAATTTTTAAAAGTGCTATTGGCTGCATGCAGTGTTTTTTTTTATACCAAGTCTTCAAGAAAGAATTAAAACGCTCACATCAACATGGTCAGTTTAGACATTCAGCAGGCAATAAGAAACTGTTTTTGCTTTATCTTAGTAAATAAGTAATTCCCTCATACTCAACCCAATAGAGAAAAATCAAATCAGACCAGCTATATTGCCTCAAGTATAGTTAAGTTCATCATTTTTGCTGAGGTTATACTAGTAATGCAATATAGCATGGAAGAATCTAATATTCAGTCCAGGGTGAAGATTGGGTATGCCAGAGGATTAGTGTCAGGGTGCTTTATAAAAGTGAAACTTGATGGACAGGCTGGAGACAGATCTACAGAATCTCATTAAATTGCTGAATTGTTCATTACGGAGTGTTCTCACTATAATAAAGTGCTCATTGACTTTGACAAATCCCCATCCCATATCTTAAGGAAGAACAGTGAGGCAGAGGGTGTTGGGGAGGAGAAAGGAAATTGGCACCAAGTCGGACAGGTAATAGAAAAGTGGATGGAGGGTGGTGCTCTTTGATTAATATGTGCAACTGGTAGCTTATGGGAGAGCCCAGTAAACACACACACACACACACACACACACTCACACACACACACACACTCACACACACGTTTATACTTGTGATTCTTCTATAATCTAATGACAATCTGGGATACTTCCTTTGTTTTGGCAAAAGGTCTAAATTCCATTCACTAGACTACATGCAGTCTGTCTCTGAAGACGTGTCATCAGAACCTTCAATTTATCCTCACCGAACAAACTCTTTTTTATTTTTTCCTGCTGTCCCTTATTCAGTCCCTTTCCTGATAAAATGTGCTGCAGGCTGTAATAACCATTCTGTGGTTCTGGAAACCAGTGAAATCCCCCAAGATTATGCCTTATAATGCCTCTTTTTTTTTTTTTTTTCCATCTGACCTTTTCAAACTTTATCTTAAGTCTCTTCTCTTATAGAGGGCTTCTTCATTCCCCATAGATGATTTTTTTCTTCCTTCTGTTGCCTGAAACTACTCAGCCTGTTAGTTAACTTTACTTTATATTCACAGGTAACGTAGAGACTGTACCATATACACCCTCTGGTATATAAGGACATAGAAGTCCCCTCAAAAAAAATCTGTATAAAAATGCAGTATAATTCAGCTCAACAATTTGGTCTTACAGTTTCAAGGCCAGCAAATTCTCACATTACAGATGGAAGACATAGTTGGTTTCGGGGCTCAAGAAAGAGGAGGCTAAAAATGAGCCAATCAACTGAGGAGGACGCATGGGGCATGAGGTCCTAACATTCATGACCTGGCGCATCTCCACCGGTTTTATTTTGCTTTTTGGGTTTAGACCTAACTTAGGACTTTATTTCAGTAGGACTCTGTTAAGTTTCTCCTGTTAGATTCAACACAGAGTTTCAGACTTGAGCTGGGGTCCTGCTGTAAAATTTAGAGTGGACCAGTGAAACAATCCCATGCCCCTCCTACATGTGGGTCTGTTTCCATTTTCACAGGAGCATGGGCTGATCTCCGTTTTCTTCAGAGGAAAATGGGATTTCTGCCTTTTCTACCTCAGATCCTCGTTCGCTGGAATGGGGGGAGATTACTTTCCATGGAAGTGCAGTTTATGGAAAAAGCCTGAATATAATGTAAATTCTTGTATTTGCTTGCACAGGGGAAAAGTGGGCTCTCCATCCATCAGTACTTTTTGAGCACCTACTGAATGTCCTAAACCACGTGGCAGTGTGAGGCCCAGTACAGGTTTGCTCACCCCATTTCCCTCTCAGGCCTCCCTCATCTGGGAGGGGCCCTTATGATTTTAAATCATTCATTCAGCTCCCTGGATTGTTATTTCTTCTCTGAAGTAGCAGAAACAAGAACCATATTTATAAATGGATAAAAATAGTGTGTGGAAATAAAAATAAGTATTTCTTGAATACCTGTTATGTGCTAGGCACAGTGTTAGAAGCCAGATCCTGTGATAAAAAACAAAACAAAACAACTTTATAAAAATGTTGAATTATTGGGTTAGAGAGATTTCATTTAGTTTCATCTCTGAATGTGGCGAGGTTGTATTTTCCTTTAATTGTTAATTTATTAACTGTTTCCTACTTTTAGTAAAAAGGACTTATTATTTATCAGAACAGTCCATATACCAGTGTGTTTCTTTTTTATCCTTGGGTTTTGAGCCTAACCTTGTCTGGGCTTAATGGATAACAGGACCAAGCATCTCAGTAGTCACATCGCTGACATAGAACATGGTCAGACCTTAGCAGGGAGAGTCTGCTTTATTCTAGTCATACCCCACATTAGTACAGCAAGAGGGACCAAGTCACCTGGTTTGGGGTTGGGGCTGATCCTGTTTACCTGTCTTTGATTCTCCATCCCCAGAGGCAGAGGCTGTTCCTGTCATGTTTGCATTGAACATTGCCATGTTTTACTCTTGCACTCTATAAATAATAGATAAAAACGATAATGTAGAGTTTTCATATTAAAATACATTGAATGGATAATAAGACAGCCTATTATTTCTTCATAAGGCTGGATTTATTCTAGGAACATTGGTATACAAAATGAATTTGGCCATTTTAAAACTGCAGTTTTTCTTGTATTTTTTGTTGGAAATTTGTGTCCATAAGTCATACTCTTTTTTTTTTTTTTTTTTTATCCTCACCCGAGGACATTTTTCCATTCTTTGTTCAGGTAGAGTGGGAGGGAGAGAGAAGAACAGAGAGAGAGAGAGAAACATCGATGTGAAAGGAACACATCGAATGGCTGCCACCCGCACAACCGACCAGGAC